CCGTCGTTGTCGTAGCTCCCTGTCAGACCGATATCACAGGGGTTACATAAACCGCACATAAACCGTGGATAGGGCACATTGAGTTTTAAAAAGAGACCCTTGTCTGTTCGTCCACAGATCGGAGCATCCGTTCGTCCGTCTGGCTGTCCTTAATTCATCTCGGTCCACCCATCCGTGCATCTGTCTTTTCGTCCATCACTTATTTCATTCTAATGTGTGTTCCGAGAGTGCTTGTGCCCATTGTAAACGGGCCGGTCAGAAAGGTAGGCGATGCGCTCTTCTCCCTTCTGCAGGATAGAACATGCTATAGGCACAGCGACCCTACGCAAGCAAGGTGTGGGTGCTGTAGAGTTCGTTGCACGGCGCGCCCCGTCGTCCACCTGGAACCTCGGTCATAATTTGATAAACTTTTCGTAAGCACTTTGTAATCATTCAGGCAGCTTCGTCCCATCATCAACATTCACTTCATGGATGGGCTGCCAATTTTAGGGGCGAAGCTCCGAATGATCTAATCTTGTAACTAGTTACGCCTAACCGAGAAAAGAAGAGACAACAAAGAATGAATAACAATTCTCATCTCCTTTCCTAGATGGCGTTACTCTGACGCCACATTCCGTTCAGCTGCTGCGCATGTTTCGCCTGACTGCACGAACGAGTGTCTTTCTCAGCCTCCTGGGTAGTCACCGTACGTGGCGTGGTGGGGCATGGGCGCAGCAGAGCGGTGGGCGCGTTGAAAACGCTTGCGTTCGGCTTCTTTGGCTCACGTCTCGTCGGCGTTACCCACGCGCCTTTTGTATTATTGAACGCAATCGGACGCATGAACGCGTGCACTCATGGACGTATGGATGGATGGACCATTCGCCCTACCCATCATCATTCACTCCGTGAATATGCTGTGATTTTTTTCATACAATTGCGCCAAAGTTTACATTATGCTCTGAAGGAGTCGCAATTTTGCTTTATTGCAAGAAAATGAGATTGCTGTCTGCGATGATTGATGTATAACATTACCATGTTGATGTCGTGGCACAGTGGCTCCTCAGGATGTGAATTGGTTGGAATCGCACTAACGAAGTAAATGTTTCCCCTTGTTTGCTCTGTACGAAAGAGAATCCTCATTATTCGTCCATAATAACAATAAATCTTCTTTTAGGCCGAATGTTTTATGAATACCTCTCCCTGATGATCTGCAATCGGCTCGGCCTCAGGCGAGCAGATTTTATGTATTCCATTTTGTTGGCAGCTAATTTGCTAAACTTATTATCGCACCAAACAACCTCCATAGGCAACGTTTTCCGTCCCTTAATATTTATACGTCGCTCCAATCAACAATTTGTAACATATATTGTGATCTGCCCAAAGCAATTCGTTCCGCGTATTCTTGTGAGCTAATGCGAAATGTCGTGCTGTAGTTTTGAAGAGTAGTTTAATTGAATGGTTTCCAATAAGTGCTGTGGAATGGGCGCTTTCAATCCATTCGAATTTCATTCCACGCAATTAGAATGGTTCGGAAATCAATTCTTGTAATTTCTCGAAACAAAAAGGCCCATTCCCACTTTGCGAAAGCCGGGGCAGTTCAATCCCAATCCTCCAATTGCCCAATAAAGAAAATGCTTCTCGATAGTATTATTTAGTTGAGAATAACTGCGCTCATAAAGATGGTGTCAGGAGATGCATTAGATTTGCAAAAGTACGTAAAACATGTTACCAAGGTCGAGGGTTATTAGCTTGGTGGCATATCTAGTAAAACCACGCGACTAATCCCTATCGGAGCAGTTTTTCCGCTCAACATTGTACTCACATGGTCGGCATTCGATGACGATATTTTAATATTTTAGGTGTAAAAGTGGTAATGCTAATAAAAATTGACATAGTGTATATTTATGTTGACAAAAGTAGTGTTCAAGAAGAATAGGTGGTTTTGCCATGCCTCTGGAGCGGTCGGGAATATGAAGAAGCCTAAAATTCATGTAGAGGGGCCCTGCAACACTTTTGGAGTACGGTAAAAACACTACCTATTGGTAGTAAAGGCTCCTGACAACACGCTAGTTAGATATTATAGCGCAGAATGGAACCTGGAATTCAGAAATAACAATCAAAGTCAGCTAAAATTGCCTTTTATTCCCTCGACAAATGACGGAAGATGCTCAAAAATCACACGTAGAATGCCCAACTATCAGCTATTCCCTGATTCGAACATGGCGCGCTCGGTTGTTACAGAGATCACCATAGGAGGCCGTCACTTGTCCACGCGCACTGAAAAAAAAAAAAGCCGCGTATTCTAAGAAAAAAAAAGAGAAAGTGCTCAAGGTCACGAAGGGCACGTGAGGTTTTTTCTTTGCCCCTCCCATTCTTCCCTGCTTAGCTTCCAGTGCTTTCGTCGGGACGAGAAAAGAGAGAATGCGATTGAAGTGTGTTACAAATCTTTGTAAATCCGCTCGTACTGAGCGGATTCTTGAAATTTTTGCGTTGTTCAATTTTTGAGGATATCAGTTTTTTCAGTGAAATATTTCCATGGTTACTCAAAAAGTATGCATAGGTCCCTTTTATTGGGGATTAAATGCTCTAGATCTGCTGGTATGAGATAGAACAGTGTACCAGCACTCGGGCACCTTTTTTTTTGGCCGAGCACTGGTGCTCTGGTTCTCTCTAGTGCACTGTTCCATATAGAACACTGCGCCGCACTGCTCGTTAGAACTCATGCTTGGCAAGCGCGCCTCGCAAGCATAGATGGGGTGAGGAGAATTTTATGTCTTCGCCTGTGCGCAAGTGTGCATTGTCATCCTTGTCCCTAAGCTTATTTACGTGTGTCAGGTACTAAACTCCTCGTGAGATAAAGATCAGGCCGTGCTTATAGTATTCGCTCCCCTCTTAGGGGGGTATCAATGAGAACCAACGAGCTGTAATAATTTGTATCTCCCTTCCGTATCCATTGGGGTAATGCATGTTTTTGTACGAACTTATGCGATGGATTATTTTACAAATTGGAAGATTGTTCACTACTGCGCCACGCCTACCCCTGGCTTTGCATAACTAAAGGCTCACGTGGTAGACCTTGACAATGCATTGTGGCCTGCGACTTAGGCATAGCATGTGCTCAGAATTACTTGACTAACTTGAGCATGATGTCATAGTAGTAGCCATTAAGGGTGTAGCATAATATATATGTATATATTCCTGGCGAATATTCTCTTTGCTTGGCGACGCGAAAATGGATATGTTACGGGTCGTATCAACCAACTGAAGTTTCAAAAAAGTTGACGGGAATAATGAATTGATCCTACCCCGGAGCACTGAGCGTGCGGGATAACCAGCTCTAAGAAGGAGATTCAGGAACATGATATCTCCTGGGCTTCGTCTCCCGAACGTCTGATTTTCCAAACACGTTCGGCAATTGGTCATTACGACTTTGGTCACTTGTTGGGCTTCATAAAAGAGAGCTTAAACGTCCTTCTCATTTTAAATGCTGCCATAAAGTTAGCAAGCAGCACAAGGTGCAAAATGAAGCTTTGATTTGGTTCTATTCATTAAAATTTTGTAACGAAATGTTACAGAAAAAATGGCGGCTTCGCCTTTCTGTCTTGAAACCTGAATTTTGACTGAAAAGCTCTTTCAACGGCTAGTTCAAAGAGGGGGAAACGTTGCATGCACTTTTGCTCAGGTTTGGGTGCACCTTAAAAAACTGCAGGTGGTCGAAATTTCTGGAGCCCTCCACTACGGTGTCTCTCGTTATCAAAAGGTGGGTTTGGTACGTTAAACGCGATATATCGATCGGTCAACTTTGATAAGCGTTTTTCGAGTATGCGTCCGAGTCGCCGACGGTGACAGATGCTAGCACAAATAAGTGAAGGGTGGAAAGACAGGAGTCAGGTGGACAATGTAGCCTTGGTACGGCTGAGGGAAAAAAATCACAAGGCAGAAAGGGGGTGATGCTGTCGCCCTAGTTCCACTTGACCGCCCTTACGCGAGGAATAGCGATAAACTTTAGAGGAGCACAGTTGATATCAGCACCGATTTGTAGTAGGTGCGTTGCTTATAAACGTACCGTGCTTGAAATCAACCAAGCCGTTTTAATAATGCTGCTTAAATGTTTTATTAAATGCTCTGAATCGCTATATATTGTTTTGAGTTTAAGCGACAGCAAGTATGCGAAAATGTGCTCTATTTTCAGAAATAGATGTAATTCCCTTCCCATTCCATTCTAGGAAGTGTGCCACATTTAGTTCTCATTCTATTCCATCAAGAGTTGTCTTCTTTACATTCCCATTCATTCCGGGGTCGCAAAATTGTGGATTGATTCCGGAGTCATTCCAATGCTGGAGTGTGAACTCTGCAACACTTGTCCCGATAATCAATGCTTATTCGAACAATGTTCGAACGTAGGAAATGTATGTGTACAAACAAACAGTAGACGTACGAGACTTCACTGACTGTCCCAAAAAAACCATTGTGCGCAAGGATCTAAAAACAGCATTATCTATGAACTTATTTCCAGAAACATTATTGGCGATCCACAGGCCTTTTCTATGCCGTGACATCTCACAGTAATATCCTATTCACACCATATAGATAAGAAAGAAGTATTTTTTTATAAGTGAAATACAACTACCTTTGTGAAAATTTTGAAATTTGCGATTTTTCGCACAATGCAATGATCTTTGCTTGGAAATAATTAGGTGCACCGGAGCATCACGTGTGTAAACCTTTTCATAGAAACTGCCTTCTATTCGTCTGCATTATGTTTAACGCAATATGACAGTTCTGCCACAATGCCGCTAATAAATAATAAAGTATGCAAAAAATAACCAAGGAGAAATTGTTCAATGAGTATGATTTAAAAAATAAAGAAGAAATGCAGTGGTGTGTCCATGAATTTCTCGCTTATTAGGAGAAAAACGAACACTGAATTCAAGAAAAAAAGTGGGTCTCACCGAGATTTGAACTCCGATCGCTGGACTCAAAGTCCAGAGTGCTAACCGTTACACCATGAGACCACACTCCTCCGACGCCGGGAATCGAACCCGGGCCTCCTGGGTAAAAGCCAGGAATCCTAGCAACTAGACCACGCCGGTGATGGCAGGGTGGGACAGATAAGGGATAAAGAGACGTCCTTGCACACGTGGAACCCTACATATTCTTTCATATAAAAGTACTAAGCAAATAAAAACCGTGAAAATGTTACATTGTGGCCAATGGAATATGCATTTTCCAAAACAAACCCACGAAGTGGCCTTCCAAGAAGGCGAAGACGACACACTTCGCTGCAATGCGTATATTATTATTATTATTATTATTTGTTTTTGAAGGAGTACACATCCAAACTTCTGTGTTTATGTGGCACGCTATTGTATAAAAAAAGAAACAAGAGATAAGCAAGGAAAAAATTAATATCTCGGGCAGTGGCACATGTTTTTTTTAACAGGGTGGTGGCATTCAAACAGGACGAAGACGACCTACTTCAGTTGAATGTACTCCTTTTTGTCAGTTGTCCTAACAACAAGAACAAGAACAAGAACAACAAGAACAAGAACAACAAGAACAAGAACAACAAGAACAAGAACAACAAGAACAAGAACAACAAGAACAAGAACAACAAGAACAAGAACAACAAGAACAACAAGAACAAGAACAACAAGAACAACAAGGACAAGAACTTGTTCTTGTTGAACAACAATAATAATAATAATAATAATAATAATAATAATAATAATAATAATAATGACCATTACGCCGTCGTCCATTGTATATACAATGTGTCAGACCTCTGTCTGTCACACGATCAACCTGTGAAACTTTCACGCTCCGATAGTCTCTTGTTCTTGTTGAAATATGCCACATACCACTCATTGTAAGACTATCTGTATGTGCCGAAAACACGAGCTACAGTAGTCATTTTAACCAATCTCCAAGATTCGCTTTCAGAAGCGGTGACTAGATGGGCTTATATTATTACAGATCAGACACCCACCACGGATACCAACCAGGGTACGCTGCAAGTTTGCGGATGCTGAAAGCTTGGAGATGTCAGCCGTACAATACTGCTATAACCCTATGCGCCTAGGCCTAGGTAGGCTATTTGCACAGGCTTAATCTTTGACGCCGAGAAAATTGGAACTAAACATAAGGGAGAAGTAGACAGGGCAGATAAAAAAACTGAGAAATACGAATATGTAGGGAAAAAGAGAGATAGGAAAAGGCGACTGCCGATTTCTCCTGAGCGGGTCAGTCCAGGAGTGCCGTCTACGTGAAGCCGGGGCCAAAGCGGTCTGTTGGCTCTGCCGAGGGGACCTTAAAGGTCCAATCAGTCAGCGTCAGCTCAACCCTCAGGATACCCTTTTCCCCGGACATGGCAAAGCCACGAACGGCTAGGCGTAAGAGAACTCGAAACCCCCCTGTTACCTCGGGTACGTGGTGTCGCTACACAACAATCGCCTGCTTTCGCAGACACGCCTACGGAGCACCATTTCATTATGAAAGACGCTGTAGTGGAGAGCTCCGGAAATTTACACTACCTGCGGTTCTTTAACGTGAACCCAAATCTGAGCCCACGGGCCTACAGTATTTTTGCCTCCATCGAAAATGCAGCTGCCGCTTCCGGAATTGCATCCTGCGACCTGCTGGTCAGCAGCCGAGTACCGTAGCCAATAGGCAATCGTGGAGGAGAAAGCCTCATGGTTGTTCCAGGGAACGGTAAGTGAATGATTGATTCCTATTGTCCATTGTGTTACTCCTAAATCAGATGAAATAATGAAGCTCGCAATGAACGTAAAAGGGAATCACCATTTCCAGGTGATGTCTATACCTTACATAGCGGCCATTATGAAGTCCCTTCATATCTTCTACACGGCCACATCCCGAGTGGTATTTGTGAACACAAACCTCCCCCCTCCTTTTATATGTGAAGCAGCTGTTTGACTAGCCTACGTAATGTTGTCCCTCCCAACCGGGGCGGTGCCAAGTAGGTCACTTCTTCCTTTGCAGTGTGCAGGCGCGACACCACTTTTACCTAGCGTGTCGCCGCTGGCCGCCTGTTATCTCAACTCGCTTCACCCTCTCCACCGCTCGCAACGCTTGAGCTCACTCCTCACGGCGGTATCATTTCCTCACCCGCGCCACCTCTCTCCATCTGTGGGCGAGAAAAAGCTGTGGTAGGCGTGCTGCGCGTGCTCGCGTGGTGTCGTCTGGGCTGGCCGTGATCCCTGGCGCCAGCATTGTGGACAGCTCGCCGCTGCTTGCCGAGCGATAACGCCGACGGGCGGACGCCACCGGGGCATGCTTCCCGCTAGTGTGCGCGTTCGTGAATGGCGGCGTCACGCCTGGAACACCGAAGATGCGTGAGCCAGGGAAGCTGCGAACGCAAGCGTCAGGAGTGGAAGACCAACGACGCCGACGAGGTGCGAGTCAAGAACGCCGATCACATTCGAGAATAGAGACGGCGTGCGGGTAGCACCGACGCTACACCGACGTTCGCTTTAAACCGTTCTTTCAGCACACGCGTCGACACCCATTTCAACCGGGTCAACGCCGTTCACACCGCTGCTCCTTCACATTCCATCAGGATTGGAGAGATGACCAATAGTTTTTTTTCCCATCCTCGCGAGTAATGCTCTAAAATTCGTTCCATTTTATCTTCACTTTTGTTGTTAGCGCTTGTGACCGTAGGGAGCTTAGCCGCTCTGAAGGCTGTCCGTGTCACAGGGGTATTGCGTGAACATTGCAGCCACTACATCTCCTGCATGAAATGCAGTGTCTATTAAGAGAAGCGAAGTATCGGTCGTTTTATTAGTGGTTGAATTCTGAGTGAATACAAACAAACAAAAAACAAACAACTAAACAAACAAACAAAGAAACAAACAAACAAACAAGAGATATCGAAAGTATGTTTGCGCAATGCCGTGGATAGATTGGCACAGCGAGGCAAGCATTATCGCCTTTCCTTCTTCTCGTCGACCGACACGTCAAGCTTCGGAAAACGTGGTTTCCTCTTCCGGTGTGCGCACTTTCTTAGGGCGCCTCATGACCCCCTGGACACGATCGGGTGCAGCCAGGTGGAGCGCAGGTTGGGCGCGAGGACTCCGTTGGCGTGCGTTTCTTACTTTCTTCCTTCTTGTTTCGATCCGTTTTCTGTCTCTTTCGTTGATATTCTGTCCGACAACTTTTTCGTTCTGTATTTTGCCATTTTTTTCGTGCCGCGCGTTATTCTCTGCTCTTTTCATTTCCATCCAACACAAGCTAACTGCCCTTTTGTATCCTGTGTTTAGACTACACTATAAAAGGCTATGCTATGCAATTCTAGAGTGCTTGGATAGCCGAGTGACTGTACATTGCTTCAATTTATTTTTTACATCTGTATTTCGGTCTATGTTTGATTTTCTTTCTCCGTCTCACCACTCAGGTTAATGTGAGGCAATGCTGTAGCGCAGAGCAGTGGGGTTCGCCCAAGTTGTCTGGCACATACCCGTTTTTAATGATAATGATGGAGACAGTGTCGACGCTTTAAAGCCAACGTGTAAAAACAGCTTCGCTGTTAGAACGGTACAAAATAAGAAGGGCATCAAGCGAAGTTTGTCGTCCTTTTCCAAAGCCACCTTCTTGTTTGTTGAGATCGCATGTTACGTACTAAGTTATGGTAACATTTTTTAGCTATTTCGTTGTTTCATATTTCTAAATCAGAGACAGTGCAACAGAAACAAAAAAGTCTGGATGTGTACGCACGCAAAAAGGATCATATAATGAACACATTATAAAGATGTCGGTCGTATTCGCCGTGTTTTAAAGTCTGCTTGTTCTGTTGAAAGCGGTCATTTCATTATACATATTTGTATTTTTCTCGCTATTTATTTTTTCTTCTAAACACGTAACACGGCGAGATGCAGTGTGCGACATGCATAAACACATCACTTTTAGTTCGTATGTGAAAAGGCCTCTCATATCCGTCGTGGTCTAAATAGGCTAGGAGACCTGGCTTTCACTGAAGAGGCCCGGTTCGATTGCCGTAGACGGAAGTGTGTGCTGACATGATGTAACGGTCAGTGCTCTGGACTCTGAATCCAGCGATCTGAGTTAAAGATATCAGTGAGACCTATTTGTTTTGATATTTTTGGCAATGTGCTGTGAACCAAGTTCTACTCTTCGCTTTTCTGTCAACGAACAAGAAGTTCATGAACTCGTCCTCTGCTTTTGTTTTTATTGCAACAGAGAATGGTGAATGAATGTGTAGCGTACTCGCCCCACGGAGGGGCGAAAAGAAGGCACCTACACTCCTTGAAGTTTGGGACAAGAGTAGTTTATTTTCCAAGAAAAACAGGCTTCGAAAGGGAACCCCAAAAGGGGCGTGGCGGCGTATCTTCAGCGGCCCCAAGGAGAAAACGTGAAGCATGTTGGCCGCGTCTGCGCTGTGCGCCTCGGCATACGAATGGGTATGCGCACACTAATAAAATTATTGCGATCATCGGCGTCATCGCCCGCTACAAGGGGTCCCCCCCTAGACCGCTGAGCGTGAAAAAAAAAACGAGCAAATGTGCGAGTTAGTCCATGAGGTAAGCCGGTTTCAAGCGATCGAGAGAAACGACGTCCTCTCTGTCGCGAACACGAATGGTTACAGTTTTTGTGACCGCGAAAGAACACGGAAGGGCCCGTCGTACGCCGAAGTCATCAGCGTTTTCCCTGTGTCACGTCGCACGAACACATGGGTTGCCTCATTCATGTCTGAAAAAGAAAACACTCTTTGGTTGTGGCTGACGCGTGGCGCGCTGGGTTGCAGGTGCTCCAACCAGGAATGTAGCCTTTCCATATGTTCTGAAGGCGTCGACGTAGCGCTTGGTTTCTCACCGAAGAATTCTTCGGTATTCGGATTGTAGAGCCGTACAGCATTTCTGCTGCACAGAATCCAAGGTCTTTTATCGCCGTACGCAGGCCCAGAAGAACGAGAGGGAGCTTCTCAACCCAGTGCTCTTTATCCAATTTGGCCGTTAAAGATCCCTTCAGTTGACAGTGTAGCCGCTCCACCATTTCATTGCTCGCTGGATGGTAAGCCGTGGTGTACTGGAGCCGTGTTCCCAGAAGCCTTGCC